TAAACAGTAAATTAAAAATAATTATTTTAAATCTTAGTTAATAAAACAAAATTGGGATTTTTTTTTACTCCATGAAAATGTACCAGAAGATAATTTATTTATTTTTCAAGGCAAAAGTCTGAGTTTGCTATAAAAATCTATCCACGAAAAAAAAAAAAATCTATCCACAATATAGTAGTTTATCAAGTGATGACAAGTCTCATATTTGCGGGGCTTCTCAAGGACCATTTGTATCAGAATAGAGATATTACATTATTTGACAATCCTAGAAATTAAATTATACAAGATACCACATTTTAAAAGCCTAAATGTTTTAAATACTACCTCATGTATGATAACTTCATAATTACTGTCTGACACAAAGTATATATTCAACACTGTAGCCCTCTGTCCATCGACTTCTAATTGTACACATAATCTAGAGACTTCTAGTCAAGATGGATACACAGGTACAAACACATTAAAAAGCTAGAAAAACTATTAAAAATAAGTATCTTCCAAACCAATCATAAAATTCACATGGAAATCCAAGGGGCTGGCAACAGCCAAAAGAATCCTGAAAAATAACAGAGCTGGAGGGCTAACACTCGTCAATTTTAAAACTTCCTACAAAGCTACAGCAATCAAGACAAGGTAGTACTGTCCCAAGGACAGATATATAGATCAATGAAATAAACTGATGACCCAGAAATAGATCTTTACCATTTAAGGTCAACTGAATTTTCAACAAGGGTGTCAAGATAGTTCAGTAAGGGAAAAAAACAGTCTTTTGAATAAATGGTTATGCAAACAACTGGTTCTCATGACAAAGAACAGAGTGGCATCCTCTCCTCACAGCACACACAGATATGCACTCAAAATGGATCATAGACCTAAATATAAGACCTAAAACTATAAAATGCTTAGAAAAAAACATAGGTGTAAATCTTCATAACCTTGGATTAGGCAACAGTTTCTTAGACATGACACCAAAAACATAAGCAACCAAAGAATAGACTACAACAAAATTTAAAACTTTTGTGCTGCAAATCATTATGAAAAAAGTGAAAGATGAGACAAAGAATGGAAAAAAATATCTGCAAATCAAGTATCTGATACAGGAATGATACCCAGAATATACAAAGAACTCTCATAACAATAATAAAAAGACTAAAAAACCCAATTAAAAAATGGGAAAAGATGGGAACAGACATTCTCCAAAGAAGATACACAAATGGCCAAAAAAGAAGTTCAATGTTATCAGACACTGGGGAAATGCAAATCAAAACCACAATGAGGTAGATACCACTTCACATCCAGTAGGATGGCTAAAATAAAAAAGGAAGATAATAACAAGTGTTAATGAGAATATAGAGAAACTGAAGCCCTCCATGGACATTGCTGGTGGAAAGGTAAAATAGCACTGCCATTTAGAAAATGAGTCTGGCAGTCCCGCAAGTAGATAGACATAAGAGTTATCTTTTGATTCAGGAATTCCACTCCTAGGTATATATTCAGGAAGACAAAAACATCAGTCAGTTCAGTTCAGTCGCTCAGTTGCGACCCCATGAATCGCAGCACCGCCAGCCCTCCCTGTTCATCACCAACTCCCGGAGTTTACCCAAACTCATGTCCATCGAGTCGGTGATGCCATCCAACCATCTCATCCTCTGTCATCCCCTTCTCCTCCTGCCCCCAATCCCTCTCAGCATCAGGGTCTTTTCCAATGAGTCAACTCTTTGCATGAGGTGGCCAAAGTACTGGAGTTTCAGCTTCAGCATCAGTCCGTCCAATGAACACCCAGGACTGATCTCCTTTAGGATGGACTGGTTGGATCTCCTTGCAGTCCAAGGGACTCTCAACAGTCTTCTCCAACACCATAGTTCAAAAACATCCATTTTTCGGCGCTCAACTTTCTTCACAGTCCAACTCTCACATCCATACATGACCACTGGAAAAACCATAGCAGTGACCAGATGGACCTTTGTTGGCAAAGTAATGTCTCTGCTTTTTAATATGCTATCTAGGTTGGTCATAACTTTCCTGCCGAGGAGTAAGCATCTTTTAATTTCATGGCTACAGTCACCATCCGCAGTGATTTTGGAGCCCCAAAAAATAAAGTTGACACTGTTTCCACTGTTTCCCCATCTATTTCCCATAAGGTGATGGGACCAGATGCCATGATCTTAGTTTTCTGAATGTTAAGCTTTAAGCCAACTTTTTCACTCTCCTCTTTCACTTTCATCAAGAGGCTTTTCAGTTCCTCTTCACTCTCTGCCATAAGGGTGGTGTCATCTGCATATCTGAGGTTATTGATATTTCTCCCGGCAATCTTGATTCCAGCTTGTGCTTCTTCCAGCCCAGTGTTTCTCATGATGTACTCTGCATATAAATTAAATAAGCAGGGTGACAATATACAGCCTTGACGTACTCCTTTTCCTATTTGGAACCAGTCTGTTGTTCCATGTCCAGTTCTAACTGTTGCTTCCTGACCTACATACAGGTTTCTCAAGAGGCAGGTCAGGTGGTCTGGTATTCCCATCTCCTTCAGAATTTTCCACAGTTTATTGTGATCCACACAGTCAAAGGCTTTGGCATAGTCAATAAAGCAGAAATAGATGTTTTTCTGGAACTCTCTTGCTTTTTCGATGATCCAGCGGATATTGGCAATTTGATCTCTGGTTCCTCTGCCTTTTCTAAAACCAGCTTGAACATCTGGAAGTTCTCGGTTCACGTAGTGCTGAAGCCTGGCTTGGAGAATTTTGAGCATTACTTTACTAGCGTGTGAGATGAATGCAATTGTGTGGTAGTTTGAGCATTCTTTGGGATTCCCTTTCTTAGGGACTGGAATGAAAACTGACCTTTTCCAGTCCTGTGGCCACTGCTGAGTTTTCCAAATTTGCTGGCACATTGAGTGCAGCACTTTCACAGCATCATCTTTCAGGATTTGAAATAGCTCAACTGGAATTCCATCACATCCACTAGCTTTGTTCGTAGTGATACTTTCTAAGGCCCACTGGACTTCACATTCCAGGATGTCTGGCTCTAGGTGAGTGATCACACCACTGTGATTATCTGGCTCATGAACATCTTTTTTGTACAGTTCTTCTGTGTATTCTTGCCACCTCTTCTTAATATCTTCTGCTTCTGTTAGGTCCATACCATTTCTGTCCTTTATTGAACCCATCTTTGCCTGAAATGTTCCCTTGGTATCTCTAATTTTCTTGAAGAGATTTCTAGTCTTTTCCATTCTGTTTTTTCCTCTATTTCTTTGCATTGATCGCTGAGGAAGGCTTTCTTATCTCTCCTGACTATTCGACAAAAACATACATCTACCTAAAAACTTGTACATGAATATTCACAGCTGCATTATTCATAATAGCCAAAAAAAGTATAGCAACAACCTGTGGATCCATTAACTGATGATGGATAAACATAATCCTCAGTGGACAGCAGGGTCTAAAGACAGAAGGTACTTAAGGTACCAGCACCAAACAGAAGGTGTACAGTATAGGAAGTGATATGGAAAGAGAAAACAGGAAGGCTCTATGAGGGCTACACTGGATATTTGACCATGAATCAAGTGCTAGTAAAACAGTCTTACAGTTAATTCAGAAATGCATCTAGGAATAAAATTCTTGTCCATGGCATGGCTAAGCATCAGAGAAATCTATGCAACAGGATTTAGGCCCTGAGCATACCTGGGGATTTTAACTCAATTTTCTCAAGGGACAAAATTCCTCTACCTTGTAAATATAAGAATTGGTTCTGAGATGTGTATCTTAGTGTGTGCCAGACTAAGGCAGAACTGCCCTACAGGGAGAAACAATGACAAGGAGGAAAAAACAAAACCTCTTGAGACAAACTTGCCAACAAATACTAAATAGATTACAAAGTATATGAGGAAATCCAGCACCACTTAAAAATAATAACGAAGTACAAATAATTAAAATTCCTTGTGGAAAAATTAGAAAATGCAAATAAAGATAATTCTATTTGTGTGCTAAGCAATTTCCTAAGGACTAAGCAATGAGTTAAATCTACTAACTTACAACTGCTTTTTAACTAACCTTAAAGACACTGAGGACTTTAAAAAAAATGTGAAAAATCTAAATTAGAAATATAGGACTTCCCTAGTGGTCCAGGGGTTAAGAATCCACATTGTAATGCAGGTAACACTGGTTGGATCCCTGGTCCAGGAAGACCCCACATGCCATCAGACAACAAAGCCTCTACGCCACAGCTACTGAACCTGCGCTCCAGAGCCCGGGAGCCGGGCCTACTGAGCCTGTGTGCTCTAACAACTGAAGCCCGCCCGTCTAGAGCCCGTGGCCCGCAATGGGAGAAGCCACCACAAGAAGAAGCCTGCACACTGCAGTTAGAGAGTAGCCCCCTCTCTCCACAAGAGAGAAAGCCAGCGTGCAGCAACAAAGACCCAGCACAGTCAAATAAATACATAAATGTATCTTTATTGAAAAGAAATGTTTTTGTTTTCTTTAAAGAAATATATTGAGGCTATCTAATTACAACTATCTTTCTCTTTCAAAAACAGTGTATGTTATAAACTAAAACTGAAATGGGTTGAACATGAAACAATTAATTAAAAATAATTTTTTTAGGTTTTATTTGCAAAATGATACAGAAAATAAAATTCATTCAAAGAACAAAATAACTAACCTTAAAAACATGGTTTTGAAAAATTTTTCATTTCTCAGTTCTTAAGTCAAAATCTTTTACTTTTAGAATTTTCTTCCATAAAATCCTGAAGATTGGCTAAGATGAAATTTCAGAGGCTGATTTTTACATTATTTTAAATATAAAAGGAAGACAAATTTGAAGGTTTCACTCAGTATTTCTAAGAACTTGTGTATTTCTCTAAAACATTTAACAAATTTGCTAATACAAACATAATTTCTTTAATCCATAAGACATTTTTACATTTCTCCCACATCCATCTCCATTCCTTAAACAACAAATAGAGCTTTCCAAATCTAAAGTATTTGGGTAAAATTACAACTAACCTTTATATATGCACTTGGGTAGATCTTATGAACAGCATCTCCAGGTGCACGCCCAGCTTCTCTGTCTAAGTAGTAGCTCTGTACAAAGACTGCGTGGTCACTAAGACACCTGACCCAAACATCTCCTTCACCTTTACATTCCAACTGCACACCTTTGCCTATGTGCAACCTTAGGAAGAAAAAGTGAGTTATATTTCATTTTGATAGGTATTTAAAAATAAATTTTAGTGCAGACTACACAGCATACCCAATACTGAAAATTTTTAAAGAATAAAGGACATTATATTTTGGTTATAAACCATAGCCAAAAGACAGACAGCCACTGTTAATATTTTTCTGTTTCTTTCTTTAGTATCCTAGTCACATGTAATAATGATGAGCATTCACATAATGCTTATTATGTGTCAGAAACATTTAATATAAATTCTCATTTAACCTTCACATTCAATTAAAATTAATTTTACAATTCAGTTAATCATATGAACCAAATTTTAAATGCTCAACAGCTATGTGTGGCCAGTAGTTACTATACTGGACAGCACAGGTAAACTACTTGCTTCGTCACAGAAAATTCTACTAGACAGCACTGGCTTGGAGAGTAGATAATCTGCCAAAGGCACACAAATAGTATAGAGTCGAGATATGTGCTTATACACACACATATTTCCTTAAAGAGTTGAGATCACACAATACTTAAAACTGTGTAAGTTTTCGTAAGTAAACTTTCATACATAAGTAAGCTTTCATAAGTATTTCATAAGTATTTACATTTGATTATATAAACTTTTTATATTTTAATGACTGCATAAAAACAAAGGTTTATTAAAATTTACTTAAGCATTTTTCTTTTTTTAATCAGTCTTTCATTATAAATAACACTTGCAGAAACATGTCTTCATTTTGTTATTTCCTCTCAGTAAATCTGTAGAAATACTATACAATCAGAGGAAATAAAAACTAGTTTTCAAACTGAGTTCCATAGGGTCCAGTTACTATTAAAAACATAGAAACCTGATGAACTTTTAAAGACAGACTGTATTTTATCAAACAACAAACATCTACACTTAAAATGAAATGCTTACAAGTTCTAAATGTTAAAGATCATCTTTATTCCTTTATCTATATTCAAAAACATAATTTACACTGAAAAATACAGCCTCAAATAGAAGTTCAATTTTTAAAATGAACTAACTATACAACAATACCTTGCTCTCTCAATGGCTTCTGTCCTGTGGACATTGGAGAGCTGACCCAAGCAGAAGCGATCTCCTCCAGAAGGGTCCACATAGCCGTCGACAGTAACAATAGGACAGCTTGAGGGGACCTTGAATGTCTCTCCTACTTGAACATCCATCTCAAAGTAAGCGATGGAACACCAATACTCAGGAGCTATAGGAGACGAACGGGAGAAGACAGTCACTCGTCTGAGAAAGTTACAAGGCTCTCACTTTCACTCCATATGACAAAGCTTTTCTTAAAGGCTAAAGGAAGGGGAGAGCATCCAAAAGAATTGACAATGCATTACAAAGTAAGCACAGCCATGTCTTCTATTTTTTAGTTTATTACCTAGCATGCTTGAAGTTTAAAAAAAATCATTTTTAAAATCTGGAATTTTGTTCTTACTTCAAAGTACCCAATCAACAAAGAATTTAAAGAATGGAAACAATTAGAATCATAAAATCTTTACCATGGTGTTTCATCTGACTGCACATAATATGTTCTATGTAGTCTGATCTTTAAAAAAAATAAACAACACACAGATTCTAATACATATTTCAGAGAAGTGTTCTTGAGTAACATCTATCTATGGTATATATTTATAGATCCCTAAATGAGAGAAAGGACATAACCAAGTCAGACATTCAAGGCGAGAGAGTCAAAGTTAATTACACTCCAACTATATAGCTTCTGTGAGCAGGAATTTTCAACTGTCTCTGGGATGAAAGGTCATTTGTCCCATCTGTATTTTTGGTGAAGTCCATTCATGATAACTACTACCATTTTACCTTTGAGAATGTGTGTAGTGTATTCATTTAACAACAATAAATGATTTGAAATAATTTTAAATGATTGGGGGGAATGAAAGCCACTATCTGGTTTGGTATGTAAATATATCTAATCAAGTATTTCTAATTTTTGTTTGAGTACAATTATTACATAGAGCCCACATACATGGAAATTATTTGATTTTCCTTTTTGAAATAACAAGTATTTATGGGGTACATGAGAATTACTGTAGGCACTACATATACAGCAGTGAACAAGGTAGCTATTGTTAGCTACTGTCCTTATTTTCATGGAGGTGCAGCAGACAAATAAGTGAATAAATTAGCAAGATAACTCAGGTAAAGACAAACACTATGAAGAAAATTAAAAAGGGTATGGGACAGAAGAAGAGTGGGAAGGTCCTTCAAACTAGACAGTAGGGGTACATCCTACTGAAGAAGAAGTCAGACCTGAAAGACCATGTAACTATGTGGAGATTGAAAATGTAAATCTTAAAAGAGGAAAGCAAATGCAAAAGTCTAGACAGTAGAAAGGGGTCTGACACAATGCGGGAAAAGGCTAGTGCCACTTACGAGAGGATTAAAGTTTTCTATGATAAACCAATTATTTACCTGCATATTACTGTGCCATTTATGAACTTTGGCTGAACTAGAATATGAAGCAATAAAACTTTCAACAAGATTAAAAGATACTCAGAAGGACCAAAAAAAAAAAAAAAAAAGGGCATTTTAAACCTCCCAAAAGATCTTAAATATGATAAATGCTTAAAACGTATTAAAAACAAAGTTCTTATCAAGTCTATAAGTATCTAATTGCTTTTCAAAATGTTGTCAAGGAAAAAAGTACTTCCCATTGAAGTATTAATAAAAAAGACCACTGAAAATTGGGTGATTCAAAACCTGAATAATGCAAATGTTCTGCCATACAGAAGAACCAACTAGTCACAAACACTCCTTTAAATATTTTTTATTATTATACCATGAAAACTAGCAATATATTAAAGTGTCTTCTTAAAAAGCTAGTTTTGAAATATTTATAAAGTTTCATTTTATAGTGAAACTAAATATAGTAAATATTTACTTTATAAGTAAAACTATTTATTAAAGGCATTATATTATGCTATAGACAAAGAAGCTTCATCAAATATAACAGGTAGATTTACTGGTTGAACCTAAAACTAAAGAGGTAGTCTAAGACAACATAAAAATTACCCAATGTTCTGGCAGCAAAAAACGGTAACAGCACTTAAAACAGATCTTTAAATAATCAGCCCAAACAGTAAATTTTGTTACAAATAATATCCTGAAGTCATGAATGTTTTCAATGATACTTCAAAAAATGAGATCCAAGAACATGCATTTCCTAGTTCATACTAAAGAACACTATTTCAAGTAAAGTGCCATAGCACTTTTTTCCGTGAGAGTCAACTGAGGGGGAAAAAAGAGAGTTGTGTTATCTTCATGTTTAAATAAGAAAAATATACTTTCATCATCATAAATTACAACATCTGCAACTACAATTAAACCTTAGTTTATTATTTCCAAGTCACCAAAGGGATTTTTGTTTGCCTAATATTTCACACCATACATTTCCCAGTGGCTCAGCGGTAAAGAACTCGCCTGCCAAAGCAGGAGACGTGGATTTGATTCTTGGGTTGGGAAGATCCCCTGGAGAAGGGCATGGCAACCCACTCCAGTATTCTTGCCTGTAGAATCCCATTAGCCTGTTGGGCTATGGTCCACGGGGTTGCAAAGAGATGGACAAAACTGAAGCGACTGAGCTCAATACAACAATGACACCATACAATAAAGCTGCATTTTGGCAGTTGTGAAGATCAAATGAAACTGACATCAGAGTTGTACCACAGACCAGGGATAAAACAAACATCTAATTAACAGGATCATTAAGGCCCAGGAAAGCAAGAGGCAAGGGGTTATCTGTGAGGAGGGAGGGTGCTAGAGGTAACCTAAAAGGCAATCCAGAGAATTTGGTGGTATGGGGATATAAAATACCACGTGAAAACATTTTCTAGTCCACTCGAAACCTGCTATACAACTAGGAGGGAACATTCTCATTTCTAAAACAGGAGAAGGTAACAGGAAACACTCATTAAGCCTTTCTGTATCTCTCTGTGCTCTTTTGCTCCAAGAACCAAATGCCATATAGGTGACAAGCCTGCAGCCTCTCAAAGCTAACAGCAACAGCAAGACAGAATTTACTCAGCTCTAAGAGAGCATTCTTAATGTCCCAACTCACCTGAAAGGGAGAGAGACTGCTAGTATCTGCTGACATGGCTATTTTTAGTGTCTTGTTCCTTAAATTAGTGAGGCCGAACTGGTCTCGTGAAGTCTATGGGCTGCTCATCACTGATCAGGGGAAAAGTTTTAAAAGACTGACTTAACAACATGAATTTCTTTAAAAATATATTAAAAACTCAGCTAAGTATTTTTTTGTAATGGGGAAATGTATTACAAAACACAGCTTTATCAAAAAATTGTTGTTCAATTATAATAGAAAATATAAGTCTCCAAGGCATTATCTTTAATTTCTTAAACAAAAGTCATTCAAGAAAAAGTTAAAAATTTGGTTAAAGAATCTAAGTGGCTCATTATGAATTACTCTTTCTGTTATTTAGATCTGAATGAGATGTCCTATGAGAATATTTTATAAACACGTAAAATTACTCTCTTAAATGGTAGTTCCAGAGTACTAGAATACAACCTGAATCTGAAAATCTGTGAATTCTGTATCCACGTATCAATGACCAAAACCACCTCAAGACACTGAGGAAAACTCTTCACTTTAATTTGCAATCAATATTTAATGAGTATTACCTCAGTTTCATAAAAAAGGAAAAGAGCATCAGTCAAAAGAAATTAGAAATGAAAGATTAGCTTTCCCAAAAATATTCTCCAACTTAGCCATCAAAGTCAAAGCACATAACTTGCCAAGCAGATGTCCTGTTTGAAACCCTTTACACCAAGGTAAAGACCAATACTAATTGGTCATTTCTCATTCTACTTGTAAAACAGAAGCTTTAGTGCCAATGCAGGGCACTACAGATGCGTATCCTAGTAACTAATGAATGCTATTCCCTAATGACCAGGACGTGTTAAGTCTCAACGTCAGTTCTACAATGAGAAAAATGAAGTAAATCCATCAAGAGGCCAAAGCAATTGATGAATCCAAAACTGAACCCAAATAACGAGCTAAATGCCACCATTCCCAACCCCACTCCACTGCTCATCCAGGGTAGGTCTTTTGTATTCAGAGCCCTCATTACCCTTCCCCCTGTAGACCGTCTGTCACCAAGCCCTATGAACACCGAGACCCTCCAAGCTGCGGGGGCCAAGACTGATTCTCAGTGATGATGCCTGAAGCCAGCAAAATTCTCATTCTTAAGCCTCTACATTTTCCTGACTTCTCACAATACATTTGTTAACACAAAGTAAGATTCTAATACAATATGTAATTTCAAAAAGCGGTAAAGTCAAACTACTAAACTGGATTGTCTAGGGATGCATTCATCGTAAATGAAATGCAAATGCATAAAAAGCAAGACAACAGTTACCTCCAGAGGAGGGGAGAAAAAGCCTTTGACTGAGACAAAACGGGTAGGGTAGGGAGATTTCTGGTAGCGCTGCAATGTTTTAATTCTCAGTCTGAGTGCTGGTTACACAGGTGCTGGCTTTCACATTATTCATTAGACTATATGCATACTGGTTTTATGTACTTCTCTGTTTATTACATTTCTCAATTAAAAATGTTTATAGAAAGGCAAGACCCCTTGACTCACAAAAAATATTTAAAATCACAAAATGTACAAATAAGATCGGAAATCCACTAAAAAGGATAATTTAACTAGTAAATATATACGGTTAAAAAATGTATACATGTAACTAGTAAATCATTGCTATTGTTCAATCGCTAAATTGCGTCTGACTGTTCATGACCCCATGGATTATAGTATGCCAAGCTCCCCTGTCCTCCACCATCTCCTGGAGTTTGCTCAACTAGTAAATACGTATGTTTAAAAAATACTTCTGTCCCGCCAGCAGCATTTTTCTCCTTATCAAAACAAACATTTGCCTCTCAAATTAATAAAAGTTAACGAAAGTATCACATCTACTACTGGTGAGCATGGTAAAATGGTTCTCATACTCTGAAGTGATCACTAAAGCAACTTTGCCTTTTGAGATAGAAATTCTTTAAATCTCCTAAACTAAAATATGAGACTAATTAAAGAATAAAGAGCCTACCCTCAATGCTTTTTTTTTAACAGCTAGAAGTCAGAACCAACAAAAAAATAGATAACTGAACATTATTTGAGAAAATAATGTAGATCTATTTGAGGAACTGTGAGTTACCCTTTAATTTGATCTTATGGTTACTGTAGTTATATTTTTAAAAAATCTTCACTGGAAATAAACATGGAAATATTTATGTATCAAATGATTATATAGGATTTCTACCCTTATAACAGGGAAGGGTATGAAAAGTAGGTGAGGATATGAAAGAAACAAGACTGGACAGTAGTTGATAACAGCTAAAACTGAGGAATGAGAATTTTCTATACTGGTATTTGGTATATGTTGAAATTCCTCATAATTAAACAAAATTTTTTTAACTAGGGAAAAACTAAGGTGATGAACTGAAATTATGTATCTGCATCTTTTTAAGCAAAGAAAAACAGATACAATAGGAAGGAGGGAAGAAAAACAAATCAAAATCCTATGTTTATGTTAAGAAGCCGGTGTATTTTATTTCCAAACTTTGTTTTATTATGTTTATAGTTGAAATCTACCGAGCTATTTAATCTACTATTTTAAATATAATTTAAAGCAAACAGTTTCTAAATTCCAGTTAACCAGAGATTCCTAAACCTACCTAAGACAGATACAGTGAATTATTTTTCTGTTCGGCATCTACTTCAGATTCTTCCTGGCTTTTTAAGCTAGTGTTACAGCTGTTCTATTTTGAAACCTGGTTTCTTCCACTGCACATTTATGTATCAAATGTCTGTCTTAAAACCAGCATTTTGTTACTTTATATTTTAGCCAAAACCAGGAATCTTGTCATTTCTTTCAGACAGTTAAAAAAAATCAAATATGTTTATGTGTGATTATATCCGTTACTCATAAACTGTTAATTAACTAATGCCATAATAAATATCGTACTTACCTGAAAAGTTTATTCTGCAATTCTATTAAAATCTGTGTGCATATATGTCTCATTGTCATAAAGAAAAACTAAATGTAGGTAATTCATTCTGAAATACACTTACCAGGATGATTAGAAATGGGAGGCTGGAATGCAAGCTCATTGTGAACTGGTGGCCCTAGAGAAAAGACAGTAAAAAAAATCCCATTTTTATTTATTAAAAGTTTTCCAGTGCCAAAACTTTTAATAAACCTTTAAATATAACTATTATACCTTAGGAATTGTTTAGATCAAGTTTATACAATGTCTAAGAACTTAAAAACTTGGTTTAAAATTATAGTATGCAAGTAGTCTTGAAATCACTTTTTTCTTGAATTGCTTTTGCAGACATTTAATAGCCAACATTTTAATGCCATATGCCAACTATTAATTTATAATAACTATACATGCAAATAGTTTAAATACATGCAAACTTCAATGCAAATTATAAGTAAATTATTCATGTAACATGTAATACAGTATAATTCATACTGTAAGATATATAATTATAATCCAAACTTAGGTCCATTTTAAAATAAGTGTTTATGGATTTATTAAATTAAGAATATTTACAAACTGGCAATAACTGAGAGATCATTATGTGTTAAGACATTATGTTAAACGAATCGCATGAATTAATACATTTACTTCTTACAGCGTCCCTTGAAATATATACTATTATTATTACCCTTAAGGCTTAGGGAGGTTAAGTAACTTGCCAATGGTCACACAGGTAGTTAAGCGTTCACACTCAGCACCCTTAACAACTATGCTGGCCAGGCAGCCAGTAAAAGTTACACTCTCTTAAGACAGGGAAACATAGTAACATAACTATAAAAAAGCAAGGTACAGTAACATATTCACAGTCTGATAGCCTCCTCACCCCAAATTAACACATATACCAATTATGACTGGAAAGAAACATGTGACAAAATATTAGGAGTAGATATCTCTGGGTAGTAGAATTCTGGATAATTTTTCTTATTTACTCCTCTGTGTTATTTTCCAAGTTTCCTTTGGTACTATTACTCTTATAATGGAGGAAAAGGGTTTAATATATATGAAAGATTTATACTCTTGATTTTATTAGGCCAAATGAACAATGTTCCTATTCTGCCTGAAACTACAAGGTACAGTTGGTTATCAGTAGGGTACCCCTCCCAATCAAGCCTGCACAGAATAATGACAGATTCAACATCTGCGTGTCTACGGTATGCTGAACTCTACAGTGAGAGAAACCTTGAGATCGTGACTCTCAAGGAGTTTCAGTCCACTTAGGATGGATATACAGATACACATGAGATCTAAGAACATATACAAAACAAATGAATGGCAATCAATGTGGTGTTAATGAAACATCAGCAAGGAAGAAATGAAAGTGTTTTGTAAATATCAATCCTCTTAAAACAAAGGCATGAAAACGTAACTATGAAAAACTGAAAAGCACTAATCATTTAATGAAACTAAATTGTAAGATGGACAAAAGATGGAAAAACATTATTTAAAAAACGGAAAGAAAACAAACTTCAGAAAAGAAAAGCCCTTACAACAAAACAAGAGCTTACAGTAATGTCCGGGGTGGGGCGGCATAGGCGGGTGGTGCTGAAGATGGCCGTTTTGGTGGTGAGGCAAATTAGGTGTGTATGGTGCGGTCCTACTTCCCGTCCAGGTGGTAGTGCTGTCTAAAAATTAAGGCCCACATGGGTTAATGTGCTTTCAGAAAGTCTGCCTGTTTTTTCTCAACTACTGAAAAGATTTTAAAAAGCATGTACATACTATGATGATAAGTAGCTGGCTGACCAGTAAATCCATTCTGCTGCTGTCCTGGCTGAGGCCCTGAAGCTATCTGCAACAATCCTTCACTATGGCTGCCTGCCAGTATACTGGCGGGCTGACCTAGAGGAACAAGAAGACATTAATATGGTACATTTATAAATGCAATCCTATGGCTTTATACAGTAAATGAAGGATTAATTACACCTGAAAGTCACAACTATAAAGATGAGCAAAGAGTGGAACTCACCCATGGCCTATCAAATAAAAAACCCTACACTCATCTATAAAGGCAAATCTTAATTTGAAGAAGTTCTTTAACTAATATCTAGCTAATTTTAGTGGCCCATTCTTCACAAATATTCTCCAAATGCCAGCAAAACCCCAGTACAGGTCTAGCCTATCTTAATAACTTCTTCAGAAGTACATTAGCTCACCCACAGCCACTCCATCTAGCTTTTGCATCTTTCTGTTAGGATTCCAAAAGTCCAGGCTCAAGGAAATGTTGAAAACTGGAAAGTTCATTATTATCAGCAATGGTACTAGTAATGGCAGAATGCTAAAGTCCAATAAAAAAGCAGAGCAGGCAAGTATTTCAAATGGAATGTAATGGATAAGGTGAGAAAGTTAAGGGGAAAAAAAGGTAAGCTCCACTGTCCAGTCAACGCAGCATCTGCGAGTTTTAATGAATAAAACAAACCAAAAAAATCAGTCTATTTTGAAATTTTCTCACGTACTTTTAAAAATCAAGAATTGCCTCCAAGAACACCATCATATTTCTGGATTTACAGGAAATTAGTTGCCCTCTCTGTATGTAATATAACAGGAGAACTATTCTATTCAAAACCATTCTATGAAATTGCTTACATTTTTAAGGCTTTATCTTTTGTGTGGAAAAAGCTAAATTTTTTCAAGCAAGTATTAATTCAACTGTGCATCTCACTTGGAAAGCACTAAAACTCCATAATTACTGTTACTGGTATTACCTCAATCTTTTCTCATCCATATGAGAGTATAATCAGATAGAAGAGAGTAAATGACACCATTGCTCAAATATGCAACAAACAGCTCAAAGTATCAAGAAAAAAGAAAATTTTTCTTCCTGCTACAAATCAGATTTCTGTAAGGCTAAGATTATAAAATTAAAAGCTAAAGAGACTATTTCAATACTGTTTATTTTTAAAGATGATGTTTTCAGCAACCTCCCTTCCTACTCATCCCCCTCAAATTTTTACAGGTTACCTTTAAAGGTTAATTATATATTTGCTGTTGTTTTTAACAACTGTACATGCTATATACTCTTAACTATCTTATAAAAATTATCACTATACAAAAGAAATTAAACTTTTAATTAAGAAAGAATCCTTGAAGATATTCAAGTTCCAACTGAACATAACGCCCACTACAGTTATCTATACTGAATACTTTCATTACACAATTCCAAGTACATAAAATGAAATTAAATAACTCATGAAGTCTTTCAATTCCTCTATTTTAGTCATTTCTTTCCCTTTTTCTAATTTTATCAATATACTTTTTAAGATCTAAGGAAACATTCTGCAACAAATTCTAAAACTTACAATTACTACTCATTGTGAAAATACATCCAAAAAACACCAAGACAAAATTATCCATATTTCGTTCATACCACTTTTTCTGATCTTGACTAGGACTTGGTCCCAGGGAACATTAATGGTTAAAATGAAATTGCATGAGCAATTATCAACAAAGGCATGCAAATTCAATCCTCAGATAGTATCAGCAGAGGTAAGTGGCACTAATCTATGCTCAAGTGGCTATAATGTACCTTCTTTTATTTTCCTTCCCTGCCCACTCGTTTATCAACTATATTCCCAAACTGGTAAATACAGAGATAACAGAAGCACCAAGTGATTAAAGGTTCAGGCTCTAAAGTATGTGTGTTTAACCTATATGGTCCAACCTATTTGGAATATGCAGTCTATATGAAAACTGTCATCTTGTGTAGGAAATACAAAAGATATTATTTGAAAAGGTGAAATAAATTAAAGCGGGGGAAAGCTGGTGTACTTTATGTGAAATTCAACTATAGAAATAAATCCTCCATCTGTTCCAAAGATCAAATTTCTATGTTGAACTTGATCTGATATTAAACAGAATATGCTTCCTTTGGTATCAATATACAAATTATCAGTCAGTCCAGATGCATCAACAATTCACTCTTGTTGTGGGCTGAGATACAATCTCCTTAGTACCAAGGAACAAATAACACAGTGATACAAATGCCAAGACCCTGTTCTGTGATTAATTTTTTAAAAAAAAGGAACAATGCGGGGTGGGGACGAATTGGGAGACTGGGACTAACACACATACACTACGATGTATAAAACAGACAACTACTGAGAACCTACTATACAACACAGGCAACTCTACATGGTGCTCTGTGGTGACTTATTGGGAAGCAAATCCAAGAAAGAGGAGATGCATATATACATACAGCTGATTCACTCTGCTATACAGCAGAAACTGACACAGCAGTGTAAAGCAACTATACTCCAATTTTTTTTTTTTAAAGGCCACTCCACTTGCCAAGCTGAAAACTGTCCAATATAAGGTCATTATTGCCTTGACCAGGCCCCAAGAAAAGCTGAACCTACTCGCCCTCTGCTTCCATGACACAGCAGAGAAGGCAGTACCTCTAAACTGGAAAGAATCTTTTTAAAATATACTTCTTGTTAGGGAAAAAAAAGATACATATAATTTAGCTTTATTTCAAAATTGACTAGGACACTTAACATCTATCTTGAGGGTCATATGTTACAAACAAATTTGTCAAGATCCTTTTTTCTAATAAGCTTGTACAACTGGAGACTGAGATGATGATTATAAAGTAATCTGCTGGATAAAGCAAAATAAAAACACTGATTAGAGGAAAGCTTGCAATTCCATTAATACAGACTTCTATAAACATCTTGGTTCAAAACTATTTGTTCTCTAAAATTTATGTGAAAGCGCAATAGACTTCTTCTGCATGTAATAAAGAACTAATTAGACCACTAATTTAAAACATTAATTAAATTCCAAGGGACTATACAGCAACATAAGACAGTTTATGTTCTGTTACATTAAGATAAATTGAAACTTTTTAAAATTAAAAATACCTTTTTTTTTCCCCAGGACAACTCAAAAACCTATTTGATGCTTGTGAACCTATGAAAGATAACCACAGTACTTTTAATATTCACTTACTTGGAGGTCTCCTCCAAGTGACTACCTATAAATATTAAATGGTTAGGAAAATTCATCTTGCTGAACTACATCTGACTCTACAACTCACTTGTGGAAGCCACAGGAATGTTGGGAAAATTGGTGGTGCTGGTAGCATTAGACTCAGATGGAGCTAAGAGAGCTGGGGTGCTGTATGTCTCCGTCGATGCACGATTACTTGGTGGATGCTGGATGGTTTGAATTGAATGCCCTTCAGAGGATAATGATGGCTGTCCCTCAAAGTCATGAACATATTCATCCTTCACCAACATACTTGGTGGAGCTACACAGAAAAACAAACAAATTTTAAAATCTTATAAGCTTTTATTCCCAGGGGAAAAAAAATCTTGTAAGTAACATAACAACACCTAAAATCAACTAGAGTATAACTCAGAATTTTCTCATACTACTTTAAAAGCATTCTACTTTTATCAGCAGAAGCTATTTATTTAGAGATAGTGGCATCAGATCAATCTGATTAACTCCTTGAAATCTGAAGGCGACTAAATTCCAACAACCTCCAGCTATGGTCCTGAAAAGGTATTTCTGAGCTTCCCAATTAATAACCTAAAGGTAATAATCACCTTCAATATATAACATAGGCAAAAATCAAGTGGCTGGAGAAAGTGTTTACCTCAGTAAGAAAACAAAATTTGAGATTGAGTAATCAATTTTTTTCATCTTTTTGCTAATTTCACAATGTAAAAATATGAGTGGGATCTGACAGCTATCCAATGCTAGGATCCAACATTATTAAGTAATGTATTCTTTGAAAGTGAAGTATACTAAATGTCCCCTAAAAAATTAGAACGAGCAGAAAAATCTCAAATGGTAAGTCATACTGAAATTTCCTTCTAGAAACCCAATCCAAATAATGATGCTTGATAAATATGTAGTGTGAAAAAACTCAATAAACAACATCTTTCTCCTACATGGTTACACCTTAATGCAACCCTGTAAACTGACCCTACTTGATATAACATCTTTTTCTTGAACAAACCAGGAATAGTTAGTTGGCTTTACTGTGAGGAAAAAAAGAAAACTGAAAGTGCATTTATAGTATCAGTGGCTCTGCCCAGAACTTCCCACTTCCTTTTAGGTGACAGTTTTGGGTTTTGCTTTTTATCTTAGCAAGCAACCCTTTACTGCACCTGAAATAACACTGCCCTACAATTTACAATCTACTGAGCTCTTAACACGAGGTTCTGTTCTTAGAGCAGTCAACAGTCCACAAAAAGCCATTCTCTTTTCCATTAAGAATCAGCATGCAATGCTCCTTATCTTTCTCTATGTCACTCTTTGAAAAAATCTATTACACATAAATACTAATTCATTACATGGCTATTTTTATTAAACTGAGAACATTTCAAAGAGGTAAGAATAATCTATTGTTCAGATTTCCACATATAATCTCTTAAAGGACTTTGTCAGGCATCATAGTGAAGACGTTGATATTTTTAAGACCCATAAACTCCACTCCACAGGGCTTCTCTTCAGAAGATTGTATGGGGGGCTTCCCTGGTGGCCCAGCAGTTGGGACTCTGTGTTCTCAATGCAGGGTGCCCAGGTTCAACCCCTGGTCGGGGAACTGGATCCCACATGCTACAGCTAAAGACCCCCCCATGCCACAACTAAGACGAGGCACAGCCAAATAAATATTAATTTAAAGAAAAAGAAAGAAAATTGTATGGAAACAAAAAACCAAAAGGAGCTTAACATATCATTGTATGTCAGTGAAAAAAAAAGAGTGGACCTAACTATTCGTCACTAATGTCGGCCAAATTATAAAAATGCAAAGAAGAAACCATGCAGGTATGACTGTATTTATTCAATTTTTTAAAAATTACACTTGCCAACAAAGTCCTACGATTTTCTCCATAAGATCCTAATATCTCTATTTAATATTTGGAAATTTTAGGGCTTTTGTTGCTTACAGTTACTGGAATCTTTTTATCAAGATTATGGAATTGGCAGTACCTAAGGAGAAAGTTACTAATTTGAGGATACAGCTGGTTACCTTGACATTCATTGCTTCTGCTTTCCAACTGACATTCTAGCTTACTGTGTAATCATAACACTAGAATTATGGGAATTCCCTGATGGTCCACTGGTTGGGACTAGGTGCTCTCACTGCCATGGCCCAGGTTCAATTCCTGATTGGGGAACTAAGAGCCTGCAAGCTGCACAGCGCAGCCAAAAGAAAAAAGATCTGAAAATAATTAAATTCTGCTTTTAAAAAGTTATGTCTCATAACTTTTTCTTGCCTAACACATTGACTAAACCTTTCCAAGTGTTAAGTTCAGAACTTCTACCAGTCTACACGTCTCTTTAATCAAGTAATTTAAAACAAGTTTCTTGGGTAAAACTGGGCATCAACAAGGAGAGATGTCTGTAATACATTTTTTCCAAGAGCAAAAAGTTGGTTACAAAACACTACTATACACTATAATCATACTCACGTTTCAAAAAATCATATACTCTAAGTAAAAAAGCAAGGTCCAGAACAGTGCACAATATGCTTTTTGTGTAAGAAAGGAGGGAAATAACACATGTATTTTTGCCAAAGAAACCCTGGAAGGAAACACCAGAAACTAATAAAAGTGATTACCTGAGGTAGGGGGGAATGGGGACAGGGGTGGGAGCACTTCTTTTCACTGTATACTTTTTTATAGTATTTTGATTTTATGGACCATGTATTGCCTATTCAAAAAAATAAAATTAAAAAAACATATAGTATATATTTTTAAAGTCCAGGAAACAGACACCAAACCACTAAGTATTTCTCTTTATGGACTAGCATTCAACAAATTAATTCATTGAAAAAAATATTTATTGAGCACCTATGTTTCAGGTACTGTTCTAATACTTGGGATACATCAGTAAACAAGAGAAAGACCACTGCCTTCGCAAGGCTTACAGTCTTTTATGATACTTAGGTATTTAAACAATAGTGAGCCCCTCCCAGCTGCCTTAATCTTGGGCAAGTTCCCTGACCTCTCCAGGAACCAGTTTATTTGTATCTGACAAAATGTGGATAATGCCACCTATCATGTAGGAGTATTATAACAATGATGACACAATATTTGTAGATCATTTTGACACAGAAAAGTACCTAGCAAGTGTTAGCTATTATGATTTAACCATATTTTTAGAGCAGTCATACACGTATATAGATTGTAAAATGCTCTATGAGGAGTAAAGAACTCACAGCGGACAGAAGAGCTGAAGACACGGAGCTCATCCTAGGTCTCTGCTCTTTAACACTACTAGCAAGCAGGGCACAGCTGTCTGATGGTACTGCCACTGTCTTATTTACCTTTTCTTTCCTCCATTAGACTATGTGCTTGCTCGAATGGAAAAAACATACCTTATTTATCCTATCGTCCCTGGAACCTAACACAGTACCAGGCAATACATGCTCATTAAATATTTGTTAAAATCAATACACAAGTGGATGCGGTCATGGAAAGTTTCATCAAAGAGATGAGAGAGAGGCTGGAAATAATTACCACCAAGATCTCAACTCAAAAGTGAAGGAATTACACCATTTGCTTAACTTTTAGCTACCTGGCCTTATACACTTTGTCCAAATCTAAAAGGACCTTGTGAGAAACACCTGTCATTTTCTGAGGAAAGAAGTCACTGAGGCCAGCCTTTTTTTATAGACAGCCACCACTAGGGGGATCCCTAAGGCTGAATACAGGGCTAAAGCAACTGAAAAGGGCTATCAACCCACACAATTCCATCAAAGACAAGCACTCATAACAGCAACAGTTTAGGACAGGAAGCAGTGTAATGAGTCTTCAGAATTAGATCACATCACAACCACTCCCTAGGGGGATTCTAATACAGTTATCACCCTAACACCCACTGAGTTAAAAGCTTTCATTCTCCAAAAATGCAAATGGAGAATAGTGAATATCTAAAGGGTGTTTACTTTCAAAAAGAGGTGACATGATATCAGTGTCTGGGTGATGAATAAGCTGGGCTTTACCCAATTAATCTTAAAGCTACCCTTTCAGACCACAACAGCTTCCATTATCAACCCACTGTTCTCAGAAACCAACTAACCCTTAACAAATACCAAAAGGCACCAGTCTTTCTTTATTATTATTGACATGGAAAAGTGGAGAATAAAAACAAGTAGCCTTTCATGCTCTTCCCAATTTTAAGGTCAGATGATACTTCTAACCCATTTCTAGGATTCCGTAGCAAAAGTGCTGCTGAACCACTAATTCCCCTTCAGAACAACAGCACACCTTTCTAAGGTGATATAGTATTGGTTTAGTTGCTCAGTCGTGTCTGACTCTTTGGGACCCCAGACTGTAGCCCACCAGGTTCCTCTGCCCATGTGATTTTCCAGGCAAGAATACTGGAGTGGTTTGCCATTTCCTCCTCCAAGGGATCTTCCTGACTAGGGTTCAAACCCAGGTCTCCTGCATTCCAGGCAGATTCTTTACCATCTGAGCCACCAGGGAAGTCTTCTAAGGTGATGGTGGCTTTTTATCAGTTTCTGTTCAAAGTAACTACTTCTTACAGAAATTTTAGCTCATTAACATGTTTCAAGAAACAGAGCTAAAGTTTTAACAGATCTCTGTTCTCAAATACTACACAAAAAATAAAAAACACCCTCTTATTTGTTTCATTTTCCTATCTCAAAACTTTCTTTTAAAAATAGGCTTAGAACATCTGTGATTGCCATGTACTTTAAAGTAGCCTTGTTTTATTTACTCAAAATATAATAAGACTGAAAAAAATAGAGTATACAGTTTTAAGTCATTCACAAAATTATCAATCATAAAAATAAGTTCAGCTGAAATGAAGAAAAATGAGAATTTGGGTTTTTTAACTATGTTATACATGATTCTAAATTACCAAACAAGTTATTTACACCCATTGAAACTGGTTCTGTGAGATTTACTTCTAAAATAGCCAGTTTTTACCAATTCAAAAGTTACTCTTTCTTTGTATGTTTTATGTTCCCCACCACATTTTTTAGACTACTTGTAGTCATAAATAGCAGTTCCAATTCAAAGAGTCAACAGCCTACTAAATCCAGTTTGTTTGTTTTAAACCCAGTTTTAAATGCTGATGCTGCCCCACTCCTGCAAAACATGCACTTTCAAAGCAGTCAGTGCTTCTCTTGTAAATGCTACCAGCACCCGCCCACACAGGTTAATTCTAGGTCAATAAAAAATAAAGGGATGAGATAAAAGAAAAGAGAGTTAAAAGAAAGGGATTACCTACCATTACTCTGCAGTGTTAATCCTGAGAGATCTTAAATTTTTAAAGGGGAAAAAAAAAACATTAATCATTATCATGAAAATAATTTCCACTATATTTAAAATTACAGAATGTAAATTTAAACCAGGGATTCAAAATTTCCATGAACCATTTCAATTCAAGAATAGTAGTGTAAATGCTATCTAACAATGCAAAAGTGCTTTTCACCTTATTTTTCAAGACCAGTGTTCTAAACGGGCAAAATACCAAGTATGTACACTTAGTTTTAGCAGTCAAAATATAAGCTTGCTCAGAATTCAAATTTAAATACACATATTTCATTAAAAATGTCTGACTTTTAACATTAGTTGAAATCCTGGGCTATCTCCAAATTTACAATTTAACTTAGAAAAATTAAAACACTATTGATATCTTTTCCCTTTATGCTTCTAGGCATTAAAGTCAAGTCTACTTACCAATTCCAGGTGATACAACTCGTTCATAATGATATGGATTCACACAGACACTATCACATTTTAAGTCAAATGCATACTGACAGTATTTAACATGTTTTAGTTCATTTTTGTGAAGGTCAGGCCACCTCCAGAGACGGGCATAGATCACATGAGGAAATCCCTTCCGACCAGCCACCTAAGAAAAGTAAATGACCATTTAATGAGCATCAATTATGCATCACACAATATACAAGGCACTTGATACATTCTCATTTAATCCTTACAATCCTACAAAGTTAGTATTATAATTCCTATTTCTTAAACGAGAAAACTAAATGCTCAAAATAACTGGACAAGGTCACAAAGTATAAACTTAAGTATGATTTCAAGGCTTATGCTCAGGTTTTAAAAATACACAAAAAAGTATGCGTTTAATGAAGAAACAATACCTAAAATCTAGAAATAAAAAATTTTAAACCTAACAATATGCTTTCTATATGTTTCTTTAAAAATATTAAACACATGAGATTATGTAATTCTACATGAATAATCTGATCCCTGAAAGTAAAAGGTAAAGATTTGTAAATTTAAGTTAACTCCGTAAGTTTTAAAAATATTGCTGAATTCTTCTGGATGGTTTTTCACATAAAAGTACCAGACATACAACACCAGATTTCTAAATTATTAAAAAAAAAAAAAAAAACCTGAGTTGTACATATAATACCAAAAAAAGAAAAAAAGGCTACAAGGATGAATACCAAAGTGCTGAAGATGTAGGTTTTCTTCTAATTTTTATTTTCTAAATTTTCTATATTGAACATTTTTTTTAGTCAAAACATTTTTAAAATCTTCTAAGCTATACCTCTATTGTAAAGAAGATACATCCTTCCATTTATTTCCATGTGTATCAGTACAGGATCATGTATTGATAATATCTGTGCTATAGGATGTACTACAGTATCTAAAGAGATGCAGCAAGCATGAAATTTCTGTAGTAACTTAAGAGGAAACAAGAATTTGTAAAAACTTACAGAAGAAACTCTGGAACAAGACTAACCTGAAGCCTTCCATCCAATGTTCTCTGTATGGTAACACATTTGCTAGGGTGAGCTCCATTTGTAGTTATAGCTGTTATTAAAGAATCCAATTCATCTTTCTTCTCCTTCAGCTTTTTTACCAAACTTTCAATTGCTCTTTTGGCAAATGTTTCACTCTCTCCACCTTGTCTATGGCACATCAAACTATGTACAATGCTCAGACAGGCATCATTACTTGTTGGTGTATTCGTAATAGACATATTGTCCATTTGTTAAGGTTATTTCTTTTAAATCAAATATGTCTCCAATTTCTGGAGCAATTTTGATCTTTCAGAGGCAGCGAAAAACAACAGTTAACGTTGCAAGGAAAATTGTTAGACATGTAGTATTCAGGATAATCTAAAAAAAAAAAAATGAGACAGATATCAGAACACATTTCACAAAGCAGATTCAATTACTTTGGAAAAGATGAATTGCTTCAGTTAAGTCAAAGACTCAATGCACAAAATTAAATGTGGTGCTTAAAGTTTTAAATGACTTAAAATGTTGCCGTTTTTTACATTCCCAAAACATTAAAGTTAGGCCTTATTATTATACAGGCATGTTCAATCAAGTCTTGTTGACTGTATTAGTCACCCTAAAGTAAAATCTTAACAGAACTTTTAAAATGGATTACTTCTGAAGAGCAGCACTTTAAAATATTCTTGATTAACAACTAGCTAAAACTAAAAGTCTATCACTAATACACATGAAAAATTTGCCATCACCTAGTACCAAATGCTGTTTATCCATCAGCAACAGCCATCTTTGTTATAAGAGACCACTGACAACAATAAAAAGATGAATAATTTTTAAATGGGCAAAGGATTCTAACATTCACTTCTCCAAAGGGCCAACAAGCACATAAAAGATACTCAATATCATTAATCATTACTGAACTGCAAATCAAAACTACAAAGAGATACCACTTAACATTCACTAGGTTGGATAAATCTAAAGAGACAAAAAGCATTTGTGAGAAAATGGAACCTTCATACACTGCCCGTGGGATTGCAAAATGGTATAACCACCTTGGAAAAGGACTCTTGACAATTCCTCAAAATGTTAAACACAAAGTTACCATATAATCCAGCCATCATACCCTTAGCAATTCCATCCAAAATTACCAAAAACCTATGTCCACACAAAAATATATACATAAATGTTCATAGCAGTATCATTCCTAATAGCCAAAACAACGCAAATGCCCATCAACTGATGAATGTATAAATATATACAATGTAATATTATCTAGTCATAAAAAAGAATGACTTACTGGTACATGCTTCAACATGGATGAACCTGGAAAACATGCTAAGAGCAAGTCACAGAAGGCCACATGCTGTATAACCCCATTTATATGAAACATCCAGAACAGGCAAAGCACCAAAAAAAAAAGATGGATTAGTGGTTGCCAAAGGTTTGGGGGGGAGGGTGAGCAGTGACTGCTAATAGGCATGGAGTTTCCTTTGCGTCAGTCGCTCAGCCCTGTCTGACTCTTTTCAACTCCATGAACTATATAGCGTGCCAGGCTCCTCTGTCCATGGAATTCTCCAGCAAGAATACTGCAGTGAGTAACCATGTCCTTCTCCAGGAGATCTTCCTAGCCCAGGGACCGAACCCACCTCTCCGGCGTCTCCTACACTGCAGGCAGATTCTTTACCACTGAGACACCAGTCCTTCAGGGCTAATGAAATGTTCTAAAATTGATACTTGTGACAGCTGCATAACTCTGTCACTATAGGGAAAACCATCAAATCACACACCTTAACCAGGAGACTTTTATAGTATGTGAATCAACACATCAATAAAGTTACTATTAAAAAAGAGACACTACTGAATTCCTCAGAAGATTTTACCCATAAAAGCAACAAGGTAAGTTCCTTTCAAAAGAAATTAAAATATAAGAATATTCATTAAAACTCCATTCAACATCTATAACACAAACTAACTTATCTAACCTCAAAATCTCACGTGGAATAAGAAAAGGCCACCAGCCTAAGAACAAATGCGATGAAGCGGGAGTGGAGGCTGTTCGCAAGCCGGGTTGTTTTGCACGCGTTTGCTGATATTGCTGCGTCCTACGCTTATTTTACTTTTATTTTCTTTGGCTATTTACTTGAATTTTAAAAACTCATTCTCCACTGCCAAATTAATAACTGACTCATCAGTCTGCCAAAATCGACTCCTCTCCTGACAACCTTCACTTGCACGGCGTGCTGATGTGCTTGGTCGTGGCCATCCCCTGGACTGCAGCCCGCCAGGTTCCTCTGTCCGTGCAATTTTCCAGGCAAGAATACTGGAGTGTGTGGCCATCTCCTTCCCCGTGTACAGCTTGAACACCACTCAATCACTCAGCTCTGGAAAGCCTGGCAAACCGTATCTGACCTACCTGTCTCTGACCCCCCCTACATTCTCTCATAAAGTTACATGGTTCTCCACCCGGGTCATTTCTACCAACTCCCATTCTATCAGACACTGATGCAGTTCTGGGTTTCCTTTACATTTATATTACTTGATATTTAACACGTGCTCCTTTCTATTGTTATCTACTTTATATAAACACCTGCCCCAGGCAGAGAGAAACACATTTTTCGTGTATCTTTGAATATTGAGCCACTTGCCCACATTCAAAAAATACATGCTGGAGGTGTACTTTTCAGACAGCCAGAGATAACCTACCTGGTGGGTTCTGGAGTTAAGAGATACGGATTAGAATCCCAAGTCTCACACTAGATAGTGGGACAAACTAAGTTACTTAAACTCTCTCTCTCTGAACCTGGATTAAAAGGAGAATATACAGAGCTCAAAGTGGAAAAATCTATATAAAGGTGTCTAGCACGTAATGCTGAGTAAAAAGCAGATACTTTCTGAATACCAAAATGCTTAACTGTTTTAAAGAGATTTTCCTACCACACATCATGCATTTCTCTGCATTTTCTCTTATCAAAATTTGTCCAAGAAAATTTAGTAGGGCAGGAACAGCAGTAAACTGCCCATCCAGGACTCACAACACAAAGGCATACAGGAGTCAGGCAAATCACATAAATGAATAAAATGTGGCAGGTGTAAAGAAAAGGACTAAGGCAAGCAAGTGCACGTCCGTCTAGAGTGAGCAGCCGATACTCCCAGCAGAACTAACATTTGAGTTGCCACACTTTCAAAGCCTATTTGTATGTCAAAATAAGTATTGGCAACTTACTTACAGGGAAAGGGGAGGAAGAGGGAGAAAGAGAGACTGCTGTGAAAGCCAAACCAAACACACCTTCAACTCAAATCTGTCCCAAGAGAATCGTCAGTCTGGAAACCCAGAAAGCCAACCTCATAACAATTTTAATTTCTAGACTGAAAGCTCTCAGGGACAGGGAGTAATGCTTGTCTTACTAATCATTATATGCCCATAGGACATATAAGTGCTTCTTCTTATTAAAGGAATGCAGTTCTGCCTGTGTTTTAAGATTCATGTCCAGGCTATTTCTTTTGCCTAACATATCCAGTCTCATTTTATCTACTCAGTAAATTCCTAGCTACCTTTCAAAGTACAGTGTAAATGTCTCAATGCCTCCAACAGTTTCCCCTAACACACTGTCTCCTCCCACTGCAATCCTGGAGAACTACTTCCCTGCTATGTTTACTGTGTGCCCTATCATATTACTTGACACCACTCTCAAAACCACACCCCAATTACAACTCAACACATTATACTGTAGTTATTTGATTATGTATTTGCTTCACACCCTGTTGCCACAGTTTAGAAAACAGCAGTACTTTCTCATCTTAGAAATTCCCAGTACAATGCTCTGTTCCTTTCATATACTAGGCAAATGCTTACAAGTTGACTATAGTTTTTTTTAATCAGTATCATTACCTTGCAACAAATTTGGAAGAATGCAAACACACATGTCGCTGAATTCATTCTGATATTATATCCAAAAGACTTGTTCCACCTTATAATGTAATTAAGGGTGAATTAAATTCAGATGACCATCATACCTACTACTGTGGGCAAGAATCGCTTAGAAGAAATGGAATAGCCCTCACACTCAACAAGAGTCCAAAATGCAGTACTTGTGTGCAATCTCAAAAACGACAGAATGATTTCGATTCATTTCCAAGGCAAACCATTCAACATCACAGTAATCCAAGTCTATGCCTCAATCACTTATGCCAAAGAATATGAAGTTGAAAGGTTCTATCAAGACCTACAAGACCTTCCAGAACTAACACCAAAAAAAGATGTCCTTTTCATCACTGGAATGCAAAAGTAGGAAGTCAAGAGACACCTAGAGTAACAGGCAAGTTTGGCCTTGGAGTACAGACTGAAGCAGGGCAAAGGATAACAGAGCTTTGCCAAGAAAACAAACTGGTCATAGCGAACACCCTCTTCCAACAACACAAGAGAAGACTCTACACATGGACATCACCAGAAGGTCAATATCGAAATCAGACTGATTATATTCTTTGCAGCCAAAGATGGAGAAGCTCTACACTGTCAGAAAAAAACAAGACCTGGAGCTGACTATGGCTCAGATCATGAGCTCCTTATTGCAGAATTCAGACTTAAACTGAAGAAAGTAGAGAAAACCACTAGGCCATTCAGGTATGATCTAAATCAAATCCCTTATGATTACAGTGGAGGCTGACCAACAGATTCAAGGGATTAGATCCGGTAGACAGAGTGCCTGAAGAACTATGGATGGAGGTTTGTAACACTGTACAGGAGGCGGTGACCAAAACCATCCCAAGGAAAAAGAAATAAAAAAAGGCAAAGTGGTTGTCTGAGAAGGCTTTACAAACATTTGAGAAAAGAAGAGAGGTGAAACATAAAGGACAAAAGGAAAGATATACCCAACTGATTGCAGAGTTTCAGAGAATAGCAAGGAAAGATCAGAAAGTCTTAAGTGAACAATGCAAAGAAATAGAGGGAAACAACAGAATGGGAAAGACAAGAGATCTCAAGAAAACTGGAGATTCCAAGGGAACATTTCATGCAAAGATGGGCACAATAAAGGACAGAAACAGCAAAGACCTAACAGAAGCAGAAGAGATTAAGAAGAGGTAGCAAGAATACACAGAAAACGGTGCAAAAAAGATCTTAATGACCCAGATAACCATGACGGTGTGGTCAATCACCTAGAATCAGACATCCTGGAGTGTGAAGTCAAGTGGGCCCTAGGAAGCATTACTACAAATAAAGCTAGAGAAGGAGATGAAATTGCAGCTGAGTTATTTCAAATCCTAAAATATGATGCTGTTAAAATGCTGCACTCAGTATGTCAGCAAATTTGGAAAACTCAGCCTTGGCCACAGGACTGGAACAGGTCAGTGTTCGTTCCAATCCCAAAGAACATTCTAACCAT